TTCTGCTGTGCTAGTTGGTTAGATCCATCAGTCATAGGCAGACTTAATCTCTTCAACAAAAGTTTGTGTAGTCACATCCTTGGTGAACGTTCTAGGGCATGTGTCCTTACTTTGTACGACAGAATTTTCCAAATCTTTAAGTTTTGTTTTCCTTTTGCACAGTTCATCGCTTTCATTTCGTGTTTTACTATAAGCAGCAAGGAGAAAGCATGCGGCCCCTTTAAGATCTTGCATAGAAACTTCCTCAGCCAGATACCCAAGTTCATCATTTATAAGTTCTATATCTTCCACCAAACATGTGACCATAATTCAATTTCTTTGCCACTGCATAGAAAGTACCACCCTTCCTCCACTGTCCAATCACTTGTTCATCATTTTCTTTTAAGGCCTCACCAGAAGCACGTTTAACATTCACACGCCTAGCAACATTCTGTTGCTGGTGCCATATGCATTCTCTAAGATGACAGGGACTTTCTCTACAGCTCTCCTCACTTCCTTCTGAGCACTCATCAAAACTGCCTTGTTGCTTCTGTGTGTTGTCAAGTTGATTCTGACTCATAATGACGCTACGTGACAAAGCAGAACTGCCCCATCGGGTTTCCTAGGCTGTAATCTTTACAGGAGCAGATTGCCAGGTTTTCGTCTTGGGGAGCTGCTGGTGGCTTTGAACCACCAACCTTTTGGTTAGCAGCCGAGTGCGTAACCATTGCACCACCAGGGTCCCTTCAGAATCACCTTAGATATCCATAATTCTATCAACAGTTTCTTCAAGGCAATCTAAGCTTTCACCATTAGGCACCTTAAAACTCTTCCAGCCTCTACCCATTACCCGATTCCAAAACTGCTTATTTTAGGTATTTGTTAGAGCAGCACCCTCACTTCTCAGTATCAAATTGTCTTAGTTATCTAGCGCTGCTATAACAGAAATACCGCAAGTGCATGGCTTTAACAAACAGAAATTTATTTTCTCAGTTTAGGAGGCTAGAAGCCTGAACTCAGGGCGCTGGCTCTAGGGGAAGGCTTTTTCTCTGTTCGCTCTGACGAAAGTCCTTGCCTCTTCCAAGCTCCTGCTACTGGGCAATCTTCATGTGGCTTGGCATCTCTCTTTCCCCTTCTTTGCTTCTTTCTGCTTGCTTGTTTAATCTCTTTTATATCTCAAAAGAGACTGATTCAAGACACATCCTACACTAATCCTGCCTGTTAGCACATTAAAGGCAACCCAATCACAAATGGGATTATAACCACAAGCATATAGAGGTTAGGATTTACAACCCGTATTTTTAGAGGACACAATTCAATCCAGAACACTGCCCAAGAGAAAGTCACACATATGTATTAAGAGGTAGGTATAAAAATCTTCACTGTCTTGAAGGGTGAGACAGTATACAATACTGGGGAAGCCAGCACAACTTGTACAAGGAAAGGTCATGGAAGCTCCATAGACACAACCAAACACCCTGAGGGACCAAACTGCTGGAAGGACGGCTGTGGGGACCATGGTCTCGGGGAACATCTAGCTCACCTGGTATAATACAGTTTATAAACACAATGTTCTACATTCTACCTTGGTGAGTAGCGTCTGGGGTCTTAAAAGCCTGTGAGCAGCCATCTAAGATACTCCACTGGTCTCACCCCTTCCGGAGCAAGGGAGAATGAAGAAAACAGGATACAAGGAAAAGATTAGTCCAAAGGACTAATGGACCACAGCAACCAAGGCCTCCACCAGACTGAGTCCAGTACAGCTAGATGGTGCCCAGCCACCACCACTGACTGCTCTGACCGGGATCACAACAGAGGGTTCTGGACAGAGATGGAGAAGGATGTAGAACAAAATTCTAACACACACAAAAAAGACCAGATTTACTGGCCTGAAAGAGATTGGAGAAACCCTGAGACTATGGCCCCCAGACACCCTTTTAGCTCAGTGGTGTAGTTACTTCTGAGGTTCACCATTCAGCTGGGGATTGGACAGCCCCATAAAACAAAACGGGACTAATGAGGCACAGCAGTCCAGGGACAAGGACCAGAAGGCAGAAGGGGACAGGAAAGCTGGTGATAGGGAGCCCAAGGTTAAGTAAGGACAGTGTTGACATGTAGTGGGGTTGTTAACCACTGTCATAGGGCAAAATGTATACTGTTTAATGAGAAACTATTTTGTTCTGTAAACCTTCATCTAAAGTGAGAATAACAGCACAACTGGAAGAACATAATCGATGTCACTGAATTGTGCACGCAGAAATTTTTGAAACGGTGTATCTTTGGCTATGTATATTTTCATCAAAAAAAAAAAAGGTCGAGAAGGGAGAGGGTTGACATGTCGTGGGGTTGTTAACCAATGTCATAAAACAATACATGTACTGACTGTTTAATGAGAAACTATTTGTTCTGTAAACCTTCACCTAAAGTACAATTTAAAAAAAAAAAAGAAAAAGAAAGACATCTTCACTGTCTTAATGTTTAAATTATAAAATTTAAACAACCAAGATGATGGTCAACATTGCTAAATTAATGATGTATACCTGTATTTATGGACCACTCCTCAGAAATTTTTTAAAGAAGTTTGGATTAAAATGGATCACCCAATACTTTGAATGGAAAAATGTACAATAACATTTTATATTCTGAACACATATACAAAACATTTTATTTGGAAGTTAACTGCATAGAAAGAGGTCTGAAAGGATATCCAGTAAACTGGTAACATATCTCTTTTTTCAAAATGACATCCAAAGTTCTATGCTTTTACAAGGAAAATATATTTATGTATCATCTATAAATCTACCTAAAATGTTATTTCAGTAGAGTAATAACAGGAAGCTTATTTGAGGTTTCTAGGGAGCAGATGTTGGGACATAAGGGTTGATAAAGATCAACATGGAGTCAGAGAGACTCTCTAAGGATGGCAAAAGCAATACTTTTATGTACATGCTTTCACGAGAGAGGGAGCCCTGGTGGTACAGTGGTTAAGAGCTCAGCTGCTAACCAAAATGCTGGTAGTTTGAATCCACCAGTCGCTCCTTGGAAACCCTATGGGCAGTTCTACTCTGTCCTATAGGGTCACTATGAGCCAAAGTCAACTAGCTAGTTAGTAACAACGCCTGGACTAGAATCCAAGTCTCTCAGAACAATGCATTTCTATATCATAATCTAAGTTATCTAAGTTTTTCAACTGCAAACAGAAGTCGTAGTTGAACAGTGTAGTCAGTGATAAGGAGAGCCTATAAAGGTTACTACACTAGTCCTGAATGGTATTTCTGAAGGCAAAGAAGGGATTCCAAGGACTAAAAAAAGAGCTGCCTACAGCCATCAGTAAAACTGACAATCCCAGGAACCACACCACACATCAAGCATCACCTTGTTCGTAACGAATTGTTAGTTGCTGTGGAATCGATTTCAATTCCTGGTAACCCTAAGTGTGCAGAGTAGAACGGCTACATAGGATTTTAAAGGCTGTGATCTTTCGGAAGCAGTTCACCTTGCCTGTTTCCCCGTGGCGCTTAACTGTTTCCGACACCCAGGGACTCCGTCCAATGGGATTAAGACCCCCTTCCAATGGAAGTACAAAGTAAGTTAATTAACCTGTTAAAATACTTTTAACAAGGTCATTTGCAATTAAAATTCCCGAGACTTCGATTTTATAATCAACACAAAAGAGTTCATTTTTTGGTAGGTCACTGAATATAATGTTTAATTGTATATAAGTCTAGAAGTAGGGAGGTGAAAGAGCCCAAAAAAATGATTCACTAAAGCTTTCTCTCTCGGCTAAATTTTATGGAGATTTTCCTTAAGGGTATTCTCTTCAGTCAGCAAAAGGAGTAAAAAGATAGATCTTTCTAGGTAAGAGGACGAAATGGCAATATTAAATTCAGGCAAACTTTTTAAGTACTTTTTTCTGCAAGTGTCAAAATTTATCAAGAGTTAATGATCAGTATTTCCCTGCAAAAGCTAAGGAACTCAATTAACTCTATTAGAGAGTTCCTCTGAAGAAATGGTAACATACCAGCAACATAACGTGTCTCTAATAAACACCTTTCATTTTATCCCATATCTTTTATCATTTGATCCTCACAACTCTTTTTTATAACATGCTCAGATTTTCCTTATTTCACTGTTAACCTTTACTTCAAAGAAAAAGTGAAGTAAACAGCTGTAATTTCTATGTATAACGTTCATTTACTATAACCTAAGAAATCAAAACTGGAAGACGGCTTTTGCTTTATCCAGCATTTCCATTTTTAATTTTTTAACAACTTTTAAAAACTGCAGTTGCTACAACCAAAATAAAGCACCAGACGCCATAATGCATTGGTCAGCATTCCAAATGCAGTGGCTACTCTCCAGTAGTTAAAGGGAAGGAGAGCTAACCGAACTTTAGAAGACTACCATTTACCTAATATGCAATGCACTCACAGGTCAACCATTTCCATTTTTTTCCACAACAATCACAACTCAAAGTATTGAAATAGCAACTACATCTTAATAATAATTAAGTCTTTGAAAACCTTGAAATTTTCAGCTCTTCAATTATTTTACAATAAAATATCACAACCGCCCTTCTCCTTGCTTTTCCAAATAAAGCCCCTTGCTCCGTCTTGGTTCACCCTTTTTTTTTAAAAAAGTCCACAGGACCTTCTACCCCAGGATGAACTGCAAAACTATCTACCTAAAGTTAACTACTTTCCCAAGTTGCTAACACGTGGGGGAAAAACACAATCGAAGCCGCGCCAGCCCCGCTGTGCCCCCACCAGTGCCCCCTCCGTGCCCCCACCAGTCAAGCAGAACCTGAGGTCCCACCTCTTCCTGCCTCTCCCTTCCTAGATGTCCATTTATGTAAATAAGCAGAGTGAATGACACCTTGGAACGAAATACCTCCGACTGACAGGGAGATGAGAACCGCCCCTCCCCCAGCCCAGCACCCAATTCTCCGCCACGCGCCGGCAAGTCCCACGAGTCTCCCGTGCCCACACCCTCCCGGTTCCCACCCTAGAGAAGCCACAGACCTGCCTCCAGGGTTTCCAGCGGGGGCGGCGGCGGCTCCGTCCCGGTGGGGGACAGGTGCTGGGGAGGCTTTTTGGTCCAAGGGTTCTCCTTAGGCGGCGGCGGCGGCTGCAGCTTCTCCTCAGGGCCAGTCACTGCCTCCTCTTCCCGGGCTTCCTCAGCCGGCGGGTCCCGCAGCGGCTGCTCCCCGCCGAAGGGGCCCCCGGACCCGCGCGCCTTGTGCGCCAGGTGCAGCGCCAGGGGCCTCACGGGCACGGCTGCCTGGGGCACACTGTGTCCCAGCACCGGCGCCGGTGACGGCTCTCCACGCGCCCCCTCGCTGGTGGCGGCCGCGGCCCTCTCCTCCTTCGCCGCCTCTTTGCCCTCCCGTCCGGTCGCGGGCGGCTGCTCGGCCTGCCGAGTCGCCGCGGCTGACAGCGGCTCCCTCTCAGCAGACGCTGCGGACGGCTCCTCCTGAGGGTGCGCGGTGGACACCGGAGCGCGAGCAGACATCATCCCCTTGCCCCAGCCGCCCCAGCCGGGGAGGCCCCGGGGCCAGGGAGCCCGGCTGCCCGTCTCTCCGCCCGGGTACCGACCGGCTCCGGCCTGGGGCAGAGAACCCGAGAGCCCGGCCGCCGCCGCCACTGTCGCCCGAGGCCGTGCAGCGCCCGGCGTG